TTAAACCAAATAACTCCTGCGGTATAGATATGTTACTTCCCGGTGTGGGAGAAAGAAGCTTCACAAACACCGAACCAAGAGCTTTCAATGTTATATTTGAATATTTGTCGTATAATGTTAATTCTTCGGTAGTGGGAAGTTTTATCTTACCTTTAAAGATTAAGTTCATATCGATATTGGCAAGATAATTAAATGTCTCGGTTTTCGTCGGAGCCAGTAACACATTAAAGTCGATGTTACCTGCCTGTATTTCATTGATCAAGAATTTCGCTGTACACTGAAGATAAGGTGGTAGAACTTTGACCAGTCTTAAAAGTATGTGCTTCGTTTGTTGATTTATGTCCAATTTGGTCAATTGAGGTAAACCTGGTAATATGCTGAACATGCAAATTTTCTTTTTGCTGAGGAAGTCATAAAGTATATTCAATGACGTATACTGTTCTTCCGTTAATCCACCTTCACAACCGTGAAGCAGATAGGAGAAGATGTAAAATATATTATCGCGCAATGTTACTGACAGTTTCAACTTGTCTATTAAGTTTCTGTTCTTAACTTCAATTTTCTGAGTAGTCGAACTACTGGAAAATCTTTGAACCGATATTGGATGTAATGTTCGCACTGGATTTAAGGATCTTCGTACGACACCAAAATCCGACTCACTGCCAAACAAAACATCTGAAGATGTCCCACCACGTCCTTTTCTATTTTCCTTTAATAAAAAAAAAACAGCTTCTATCAGTGACTACAGATTAATAAATTACAGTATACAACAGATTAATATACATAGTTACAATATATGTAAAAAAAATTTAAAGATTCATATTGCATATTTGTGCTATCAACATTTTCCAATAGTCTTTACAATCGCGTTTTATATAGATATTTGAAATCTTTAATACTATTCGAGTAGTTATTTGATTATTTTTGAGTGATAAATTCTACTTGTGTATATTCGAATATAATAGTGCGCAATCAATGCCTGATGACAGTCAAATATTATTTTATAGATAAGAGAGAAAGCTCTTACAACTTTACTTGATTGTACAAACATTTCAGTATCTAATCTCTTGTGTATTTGCACAAACTAATAGAGAGTGATTAAAACGCTTTAATAGTTGCGTTACACTTCTTACAAAGTTTTATTAGCGATTTAAATACCACAAAGAGAAACTCACATAAGCTGCATTGGTCACAAGTGTCGTTCCAGTTAGAAGAATAAAAATAATAGTTGTTATTTTTCTCACTATCATTTTGTGTGAAAACTTTATAACTGAATCAGAAATAAAATAAAGGCTATAAAATAGATTCGTTTATGCAAATAAAATGCGTCACATTACACAATATTGCGTTAGGCTTGTATAAAGTTACTGCATCTCAGAACACACCGCGAAGACTAAACAAGTTTTAAATCGAAGACGGTGCCTTTATATGGAACAATCGAATTGCTATGGTTAGAATTATGCAGGTGCATGTACGCGACCGCCACCTGAGAGTGAGTAACTCGGCAAGAGCGCATGTTATTGCTAACTGATAATTAAATTTTACTGTTTCGTACGTCGGTATTTCCCTCTCTCTTGTTCTTCACCTTGTCGGTTTGAGTTTCATCGGGCGAGATGAAATGCGCTTATTTGATTTATTATTGTTGATATCATCTTTAAACGATTGGATATTGAATTACTATCACGACAATTTATATATGTATTAAATAAATTTATTGTTTGTGATATAAAATATCGTAGAGCTGTGTGTTACACAATTCTCAGATTGTTATTTTTGATTTATTTTTGCATAAGATTTGAGATAACATATGTTGCGTATGACTTTTTTCTCCAAATTTGATAATATACAATATATAACGCGTGATTAGAATGATGTTTGCAATAGTGAAACATATATCGAATTCTTGTGTGTGTTTTACATTCTATATACATATAAATAAAAGATAGACAGCTGAATTCGGCGCACGTTGCAACAGATTAAAAGAAATCACTGCGCGCAATTACACGGTAGGTAACACAAACATCTTATATGCGGGATGTACAATAAAAATATCGGAAATATGTGTATAGAAATACTGGATCCCTTTGTTTGAAAAATTCGTTCGCTTCAAAATACCGCGTTTTTTGGGAATTGCGACTGTATCGAATTTTCGTTGATTTTCCCGTCGAAAGCAGATTGTTTTCAACACTGTTTTGAAATTGCGGTTTTTGCACAAACATGAAAAAAGTACAGAGAGTCTTGATAAAATAATTCATACAAACTATATAAATTTACTGAGTTAAAAGTTTTTCAAGTTAAACAAAATAACTATTTAAGAACTTTGGTGTAACGTATTTACATCACTGATGAGTGGTCACAAATTTTGAAACGATAAATAAATTCAATTTATTCGAAAATAACTTCAAAAACAATGTGCGACGTTCTGTTGGTCGGCATCATTTAATGTTAAAAATACTGCTTTGTTTCTTTTGTCAGTAAGTGTATATTCTTTCTACGCCTATTTGGTTGACATGTATCAAGTTAAAATGTACACGGTACTCAAACACGTGTACATGTACATACATCGAAACGACACGGTTCGAAATGACAAGGTTTTTACGACAATGCGCACATTTGTCCTCCTACGCTCTGCGATTGAGCGGAGAGTATATTTTTACTCGGCCAATAAAATCGAAGCTGACAATCTGCTGTGGCCCCCTAACAAATGACAACAGATAACGACCGACCGAAGGGATCGCCCCGTCGTGAACGATAAGGCAGCAAGACAGTGACGAATAGGCCTTTGCGGCAGTTCCGCGAAGCTTCCGCGGTTGCAATACCATCGGTGATGCAACTGGCCAAGCCGGTCACTATCATACGCGTACCAGCGGCAATTCCGATAGACGATCCATTATCTTAAGCGGTGTCGGGCAATCGATTCACACGCGCGCGCGCTGCATCTCCCGATCAGGCGCTTTTTCAGATCCCTTTGAAACCCTTCACGTTCCCGCAACAGACTCTTCTCTTTCTATCGCTTTTATCTCTACACGTACGTAAATTTTTAGATCGATTCGTGTAAAACGCAAACGCGCGACTGCATATTGCGTCGCTATGTTACTTCCATCGCTCGTTCGCAAGGTCGACCTGTCGAGATTGGGATTGAACGACGCGCGGAGAATATACGGTAGCTCCGCGCGCGTCCGAGCTAAAAGCGCGCGCAGTTTTTTTGGAAAGGTATCGTTTTTCTCGCATTTCCGCGAAAGAATGAGTTTTATTTATTCGTGGAGATTAATGACGCTGTTTGTCGGGCGATAAAATAGCGTTGCAATACTTATCGTATTATTCCGTTTGGAAAAATAAAGATTATATATAATCAAGATTTTGTACGTAAAAAATATATATATATATATTTTTTTTTTTTTTTTTAAGCTGCTACCGCGCGCGCCGTTGCCGCTACTATTGCTGGCTACTGCCGTTATGCTTTCACCAAACTTTCGTGTCACGTTGGCAAAATTAATTGATGTATGCAACTTATTCGAATATGTGAACACATTACCGCTTTATCAAAAACTTTCTGCAAAATACGCAGAAAAATGCTGGAAAATAAAATGGATTAAAAGAAATCAAAATGCATTGCGCAGAAAAGTAGTTTTGAAGACTATAGAACATTTGTGAAAAGTTTTATGAGTTTTAAAATTGATTTGTGCAGTAGATTTGTCATATCAATCAATATCTGTCGTGACAGAAAACTGAGATTGCCACGACGATTTTAATAATCGGGTTTTCAAAAAAAAAAAAAAAATTCTCTCTGTCAATAATCAACTTTCAATATTCCGAATACAATTTTTATAACGACAGAAACAAAATATAATGCTACGTGTCAATATTAGTATCTCTATCTTTTCTCTTCTTGTCATCTTTTGCACTCTTTCAAAAATATATAGATATTTTTATCGCATGTCTCTTTAGACATATGTGTAAAAAAAAAAAAAAAAGACGACTGTTATATCTGTGAGTAGATAAAACTTTTTCACGCTATAAAACAACAAAAGAAGAAAAACATTTTTCACACAACTCCACGCCTTGCATCACAATGTGTGATATAGGTTAAAATTTATTAAAACTTCGCGTATCCTGTGATCAAACAGCGCGTTTGATTGTTTTGCGAGATTGAAGAAAAACTTCAGCTAGAATTTTTTTTCCTCTAGATATTTTTTTATCCATTTCCCGGGCATAGCAACTCCCGATTGGATGCCGTTGCCGCACTATAAATTCCGCCGCTCCCGATTGCAAGAACCGTTTTTGGAGATTACGATTGATCGACGTTTGCTGAAACTTAAGCTTTTACAATACCAAAATTCTGCGAATTTTCGCGAATGTTTTATGTTCCAATTTTTCACTCGAGGCATTTTCGTTGACCTAGATACTGGTTTTATGAAGCTCGATTAACTTTAATTCCTCGCCGGTGTATGAATTATATATGTGAACAATAAAACAAAAAACTTACGTCAACATATCTCTGAGCGCATGTGAATAATAATGATTTCGCCTCTCCTCGTTTGAAATTTTTCCACTTACAAAAACGATATAAAAAGATAATAGAAAAAAGTTACTTTCCGCATACATTATCCTCCCTGGGCAAACTCATTACAGATGCTCTACTAACATATATGCTCTTATATACACATAAAGCAATTTACTTACATATACCTACGTGTTACACAAAGTTCTTTATTACCGTTGATTAGCGTGAATAAGCGCACACCAGTTCTCATGTTATCTTTTAAGTACCGGGAAAACTAACACTCTGTGAGATTAACTACTGCAGTTCTATACCGCGCGCTGTTCGTCCTGCACCGCAATATTGTCATAGTATAAAATAAACAGACTTCACACACACACACACACACACACATTTCTCCGAAAAAGAAATACCATCGTAAATATCATCGCAATTTATTGGCGCAATACAGTTTTTATTTGCTTCTTCTGATAACACAAACTTGTTTTTTTGTCTACAGGTTGCGGAAGTATCGCACCGAAATCCACTTGGGGAAAAGTCGCCACCGTAGGTTACGCCTGTCTTGGTATCCCTCTGACTTTGATCTACCTGTCTAGCGCGGGAGGTCTCTTATCGCGATGCGCCAGAGGTGTCTTCACCCGAGCTCTATGCTGCTGCCTCTGTTCGAATTGCGGTTACTGTTGCTACGACGAGAAGCGGATGCAGGTTAGCAAGGTTGAAAAATTTAAATATTGTGTCGACGCAAAAAACTCAATTTTTTTTGCTGTTCGACAAAACTATTAATCGCAAACTGCATCAATATCTCTCCTGAGTTAAACAAACCGGATGTACGTGATGGGAAATGCATATGTCGTACCGGATTGGATAGCATCGCCTGGTACAGGATATGCACGTGTCCTGCACGGTCGATAAGGATTAATAGCTGCCGAGATATTGATTGGTTATTGTTAAAGCGCTATTCAACAAAAATTGGATCAGCCTTCGAAGCCCCTCGACACTTTCGAGAGTATACAAGAGTGTGTAAACGATATCGAGCGTTTACTCAAAAGTGTTGCGATGCAGCGAAATAAAATTGCCGCGTGTATAGAGTGATCACGTGCGTGCGCGCGCGTATCAAAGCGCAGATATGAAAAACCAAATTGTCCAGTTTAAAAAAAATTTTTTTTTTTTTCCATGCGTGCGTAGGAAAAAGAACGACGAATGAGAAAGAAGCGACAACAGGAAGAGTTGGCGCAGCAGCAGCAACAGCAATTACAATTGCAGGAGCCGTTCTATGTTCGCGCGAATGCATCGACGTTTACGAGCACCGTGGAAATTAAGGCCAGTCCGAAGGACGAGGTGTCAAGCCTCGGCTCGGGCGACCGACCCAACGTCACTATCCTCGCGCCAATCAGCATTTGTCTCGGTGCGATGCTGTGCTACATCATTGGCGGTGCATTCATTCTGCACAAATTGGATGACTGGTCATTCGTAGGTAAGTCTCACCCAAATTGAGAAGATACGCCTTCAGCGTTGCACTTTCGATGCACGTGTTATAGTTGCCGATACTTCTCCGATAAGCAGACTTCAAAGCAGACCGAGGAAATTAAAACGTGACTCTATTTTCTTTACGTCGTTACATCAAGTCGATATAAATTTTGTTAGATAACATCTGTACGTGCGGTAATATCATACGCATCTAAATAATTTATACTTATAAAGATAAAATTCGTGTCGTTTCTTTCACACATAGACGCGAGCTATTTCTGCTTCATGAGTCTGAGCACCATCGGCTTCGGCGACATGGTGCCCGGTTCTTACCCTCGCCACGCCCTCCTCAACTCGAAAAACGTGACGATCTGGTTCTGCTCCTGCTACATAATGTCAGGAATGGCCTTGACAGCGATGTGTTTCAACATCCTACACGACGAGATCGTCCACCGATTAAGTCATCAGCCGGACAAGCCGGAGCCGGTGAAGCCGAGCTCGTCCGTAGACGAGCTATCGACGGACCCGTTCGCGTTGACCTCGTGACAATTTCCGTCTGGCAATCTGTGCCACAGGAACGGCACTGACGAGAACAATATATGTGGCACGGAACCACCCACCAATATATTCGCGCACGAGAATGAGATCAACATTCTGAAAGACACCTTCAATCAAGTGGACGTCACCAGAGACTGCAAGCCGATCCTGAAGCTCGAGGACCACGTCCCGCCGATTTCTGCCGTTTACATGTTGCCCAAAGTTGACGAGGAGGCTGAGGAAAATACGGAAATGTGAAACTTCGGTGGATTTCCGGAGATTGACGTTCCGGCCGGACAGGTTCAATCAACTGGAGATTACCCGGCGGCGGCGCGTTTACGGGTCGTAAGCAAACGCATAGGTATATGTAATACGTTGTATGTTAAACTGTGTTGTCAAATTGCGACAATGAAAAAATGTTTTTGCTGAATCTATCATTAACGTTGAATTTAAATTGAAATGTGATAACAGCCTTAATAAATGCAAGAAAGTAACAGTGCTCAAAATTTACTCTTCTTTTTTTTCATAAATGTAAGGAACATAGTTTTGTAATTTCATAGATACATAAATTTAGACAACTTTCTAATTCTTATCTAATTTCACTAAGATTGTCTATGTATCTTAGGATATTGTATTATTAATCTTCTTTATGAGATAAAAAAAAAACGTGAGAGAGAACTATTTCAAAACATTTATATTGTCTCGTCAAATTATTTTATACGTGTCGGTAGATTCAACGATTAATGATAGAATCATTAAATAAACGCATATAATACAATATACTATCTGGGAAACTCATTACAAAAATTCAAGAATAATAAATGCTTGAGAGAATGAACACAAGTAGGACATCCTCCTAATCGATTTGGTAACAATTGTTTATATGTGAAAAATCCTATCTACACATTCGTGAATTACTGCCGTAATTAATGTTTTAACACAATTTTGATCATTTATTTCGATTACTAAATATTATTAAACAAAAATTAAACACTTGCTACTCACAAATATTTGATATCACATTATACATTAAATTTATAAAATAAAATACAACTTTTTTCAGATAAATTATTTTTACATAATGTTAATTATAATACACAATGAAATAAAATTAACATTACTACAATTAGCACTACTTTTCTTTAAACATGAGTCTTATAATCAGAAAAGACTCAGGAAAGGCAAAATGAGACATGTCGTTTTGTTCGCATACGAGTAACTTTATTAAACTGAAAAGTATAGTGCATATTCATGTTTGTTAAATATAGTAACAGCATTGTATGTAAGTTTTAAGCAAGATGCCACTAAGATAAGCAAAGTGTCTCTCAAATGTCAGAGAAATTTCGTGAACTTCTACCAAACGTTGCCAAGCTAATTTGGAAGTGTCCTTAATGAATGTTTGTGGATATTGCTAGCATATGGAAAGGAAGGGGGGGAGAGCTTTCACATAAGAGCAAGACGTCGCATGGATAAGTGCAAATGACGTTGCCAAAGTTTACATTATTGAAGATATTAAAAGTATAAGCTCGTTAAGCTTTAAAGTTGCCGCTCGTAAGTAGATCGCTTTGCTTCGTCCACTTTAAAGGATTTGAATTAATTGGCAATATTACAAAAGAAAAAAATAAATAAATAAAATAAAATCCTGTGAACTGAAAAACCATGAGTAATTTCTCATTACGACTCAGGCGTTTGCGTGTCGGCATTAACGACGGGAAATTACGTTTACGTCGTCGATAAAATGAGTAGAGAGCAAATGACCGGCATAAAATAATTTCCCAAGGGGCAATGATGCATTTCATTCGCGGCCGGTGTGCCGTTCGTGCACGCGGAGATGTTGAAATTTTCCTTTTATTTCCCTATCTTCTTTATTCGTGTCACGTACTACTGCTGCTTTCTAAGAAAGCCTGAAATTGACTAAAAAATTGATATATTTCTCTAATATAAACAATCTCTTAAAAACACAAAATGTCTTAACAAAATTAATACTTTAAGTGATCGAAAAAAATGCAGAAATAAAATTTTCACAATTTCACCCAAATAAATATATATATACATATATATACGGAAAATGATCGTACCGAGGCACTTTTTTGTCATTTTTTTGTCATAATCAATGATTTCTTATTATTAACATATCTCTAAGGTAACATCGTGAATCTCGCAATAAGTAAATTAAACGCGCGCGGTCAAAGCTGAACGAAATCGTGCTTGAAAATTAATTTCCGATGCTAGGACCTATGTTTGACGTCCCGGGCGAAAGCACTTGGGGATGTGGAAATCAATCTGAATGTTTCTACAGGTTCAAGTATGACTCACTCACTTGATATTCAATGAGATTCCGAGGACGTCCTAACTTGTGTGCGGACCGACTTAATGTTTCTACACGCCTACTTAGATAGGGACATGTAAGAATTTTTTATATTTCCGTACTTAAGCATATTCACGAGGTAAACGCGTTCTTGTCTGTAATAAAATTAAATTAATTAAGCTATCGATCCTCGCGTCTAGTTCGGAACAAGATCGATGACATACGTAGACACACACGCGATCATTCGCGCGTGCACTCTGTTTGTCGATCGATCTGTCATTTTTCCTATCTACTCGCGATTCTACCGAACTGTAATTTCACACTGCCACACACACATGGAGATATCTGCGGAAACAACTCGATTGTTGTTGAACAAAAGGCCATGTTTTCTAAAACGTATTGTAGGGTAAGCAATATCTGAAACACAAAAGAATAATTTAAAGTTACCATGTGCGACTGCGCGCGCACAGAAACGGAATCTATATTTTGTTGTAATTTCGGCGGAATATTCTTATATTGTAATAGTTTAATCAACATATTTTTCCGAAAACTATAATCTTTCTCTCTCTGTCTCTCTGTCTCTCTCTCTCTCTTTCTCTCTCTCTTTTTTGTTTAACGATAATTGTAGCGAATATTGTAATAAGTGTTGTAACACTTTGTTATTAGTAACGTGTTATTTATGTTTTAACGTTGTTAGCTAGACGCTAGAATCAAAAATAAATGAATGAAATCAAATTCTGTGCTCAAGAACAATAACTAAGATATTTATACGGATAGGCACATTAAATCCTAAGGATGTTGCGTTTAAGAGAACGACTATCCCCCGTTCTTTCATAATGATACTCGAATAGTCTATGAGAAAAGTGCGTAACCACAAAGCATAACTGTGAATTAGTTGTAAATGATGATTTTTCGCTGCGTATGGGGCAACCTTTGTGTGTGCGTGATGATTACAATCTTACACAGGCGTTACCACACCTACGTTGTCATATTAAATATTCTTTACATATCTTCGCGTGTGCAGATGAGTGTGATAAACTTTAATTCGTCGTTAAAAATAAAGATGAAATAAAAAGCATACGTTAAATTTTCACCTTGTATTTTCTTGTACAAACGTTTTGCAGTGAATACCACGCAAAAAAAAAACAATTACAAAGCCTGCCCCACACAATTTGTAGAGAATTCCGATGTCCCATGGCGGCTTAAAACAAAAAGGAGAGTCCTTTCTTTTCTGTTTTTTGTAACATATCATGTAATATAAGGGATTTCGTCGGCCATCACTCACGAAGGAGCGTACGTCATCGCGATTATTAAAAGCGCCGTGCAAATCGCTGAGAAGATCTCTACAGCACCCAACCGTGCATCTAAGGCGAAGGAGAATTCCGTACGGTGCCTAATGACAATCGATACTGGCTTGAGCAGTTGCTAGAGTTATCGTTATCACTCCGTCGGTGATTCGATGGAGGGTCGTGGCCGGCAGCCAAGACAAACTTTACTTTGGTTCTCGTACCAGACCATCCAGCCATCGATCCCAACCCTACCGCTCGTACAAACTTCCTCACACTCGAGTTCGAGGCGGGCGCTTGCTCCAAGCTGGCGCTACGGCGATTTGTTGCGAGAATCTATTTACAACTTTCCATACATCCCTCTCGTGTACGCGAGGAATCGTGCAATAACCGCTGGCGTGTCGCGATTGCAAATGCCAAAAGAAGTGCTTAAAAGTTGGCTGTTTTTTTTTGTTTTTTTTTTGTTTTTTTTTTAAAATAAAAGATAGAAAACACCTCGGAGAAACGAATACAAAAGAGATCGATATTTCGTGTATGTGTGTGTGAGGAGGGAAGAGGGGGTGCGCGCGCGCGCGCGCGCGGATAACGTTCTGAAAACTTTTATTAATCAATGTTTTTATATGGTACTTATTGCACTTAAGAAGATTTCTTTTTATTCGTGTTATTTCAGATCGCTTTTAATTCTTTCACAAAGTTTCCTCTCGAGATAATAGACTCATTTACGAGGAACGTGAACTTGTGAAGCGAATTAAAGTTTGACGTAACTTTTCACTACGGATATTGAATTCGTTAAATGTAAGTGAATTTGGCTACATCAAGGAAATATATCATATCGTATCATCAGTTTGCTGTCGGGGACGTGAAAGAAAGTTAATGAAGTAAAGGAAGGGCTTATAATATGCATTTTTATATTTTCACTTTATGCTGATTTTAAAAGAACTTAGTACTCATATAGTTTTTTGGATGACGTGTAAATTTTTTTATAAAATTTCTCTTTTTTATTATTGTGCAAAAAATAAAAACATATTGTTTTGTACTTATAATTTTTGTTTTTGGATATTCTTTGTTGTTGAATTTTCTTATCAATGATTTCTTTGTATTTCTATTGGCGTATCCGTAACGGAAACGCATCACCTCGCCGAGTATCGACAATCCGAAGCTTCGTCATGTTTTCCGCATTCAGAACTCTCTTCATTATCGTTACAATATATAATTACAACTGACAGTTTGTTTACGTCAATATATAATAAAACGCCGTCTATAAGCTCAGTCCAGGATGGAAGTCCCAGCGCGGCAAAAGTCCAGACTGACATCTCTCCTTTCACAGGATTTTCTTTCCTACGTAACTCCTCATCTTTCGCCCTTACGTTCCGGTTTCCTCTGTCGTTCTCCAGGGAAATATAACCGAGTTCAAAGCTCTCGACGGTCGACACGAAACTTTAGCGCGACAATTTTGCACGAGAAATATCCAATGAAAGTCAAACGCCACGGGATTCAGCCTCATCGGTGCGTTTCGGCTTTAGGAAATAAAGAAGAAAAAAAAACGAGGAAGCGGCAAAGCCAGCTCCTCTCCCCTCGACCCTTCCATCTACCGACTTAATAGAACTAATGGTTTTCTGTTGTCGCTTTAAATATTCATCTGGCGCGCGAATTAGTCCGTGAATCATCAAGTTCTCGAAAACTCAGAAAGTCGAATCCACGTCTCTTGATACTCCCAATTGCGTTTCTACAGAGAGCAATTAATGTTCTTCCTAGATACTATTGACTGCTATCATTTTAAACAACTTGTGAACGAAGTATTACTAAATTACAACCAAGTTTACTTCGCACAAAGTTAGTTAGAAATTTAATTTAATTAAATGCCACTTATTGATTTCTATCTTGTTTCAGTTTGCTTCTGTCCCTTTTATTTATATAGCGAAGAACTAGATAGTAAAAGATCGTTTATCGACGTTTTAACGAGAATAGAACGATTATTTGCGTATTCGGGTTTGAGATTAAACATTAAATAGATAAACGTTTGCTATCCGGATGAAGAATCATTGTCGTTGCTGCTAAAGCGAATGTCGAAGAGGAATTGCAGGAGAGAAAATCTCGGAAGAGATCTCCCTGAAGAGAAATCTCATTTATATGTATATATATATATATATATATATATACACATATATATACATGTATACATACATATATATGTATATATAAATACTTGAGTTGCAACAATATATCTTGACGTCAATTCAACTTCCGTAATTAACGAATTAACGAGATTTGCTTCTGCCGTCCTTCTATATCGCAAGTCTTATACAAAGTTGTATATCAGTGGTGTAAAATTTGAACACAAATTGATATTAAGTGAAATTTAATGTAATTCCTAATTTGTATATACGTTTAACATTCTTTTAACTTATCAACTAGATACAGACATGTAATTATTTAACAAAGTGTACTTACAGAGTTAAAGTAATATTAAAAAATAAAGTCAACAGACTCATTTGTTGTTCTATTCTTTTAGTTGGTGGTTCGCAATAATTAAGTGTTAACGCTTTTATCGATACATCCTATTACTCGGCAATTCTACGTTACTTATTCATGTGTAAACGTTACTAGTAATGCAAATGTTTGTTATTTATATTTGTTAATTACATTGGTTTCAATCGTTATTTTACGAAGAAAAAACGTCTTAATTAAGTTTTTTGTTTATAAAAGCGAATATATCGATACGGATACCAACAATGTTAATAAGAATATTACTTGTACATAACACCAATTAATATCGATTGTATGATAATGTTCTACTAGTATTTATTGTTAGAATGTGAAATTTAATTACTAGAGTCCTATATTTCATCGTGGCTCGTCTGTCGATCGCTTTCACTGAAAGAAGGCTCACAGTAAAATTGTAAATACGAGATATTGTCGTAGAGAATATACATATATAAATAAATATATATATAAATATACGATAGAGATATATAAATGTGAAAAAAAGTTTTGTTAGAGATCCTGTTGAGCAGCAATGTAACTTGAGCACTTTGATTCTTGTAATATCGACTGGCATTGTTTTGACTTATTAATGTTAAAAGAATTTGATATTGCGAATAAATATTGAAAAAATGCTCATGTTGTATCTCCGATATGAGAGAGTTGATCTTTTTCACAATAGAATGGCAGAGAAATGTTATTGTTGTTTATGTTAAAATACATATATGTGTGTGTATATATATAACAAAATCTTATCACTTATAAGATTTATTTATGTATATATATATATAATATACATATAATTAGTTTTCAAAAATAGAACACATTATAGAGGAAAAGCAATCATTTTTTGTGAAAAATTTCAATTGTTTATTATAGATTTCGGAAGAAAGAAGCATAAAAAGAAACGTTTACTAAACGAACGCGCCGCACAATACGGCATTAATCTTTCACGCGCTTTATACCTCATGAATCTCTTGCGTAATTCTTTGCGCAAAATATAAGTCTTAATATGTAAATGTGATCCGATTTGTTAAACTTTGCGTGCGTCGTCGATCAAAACAAAGTTTTCTATATAGCGACCAGTACGTGCCGAGTTCGTAAAAAATTAATCATAGTCGAAATTCACCAAGATTCATTTGAAAAATGAGACTCATTTCACCTAATGTTCATGCGTTTCTCGCGAGATGCGTCAAAAGACACATTTAAGCGCACAATTTTTTATCGTGTCACACACGAATTTTTGTACAAGAATTCATTTCTTCCAAAACTGTTCTAAGGAAATACAGATCCCGGAAGAATGTAGACGTACACACGGCGGGCATGCTATCCTCTCGGATTCACGTTGTACACGGAAAAAAAAAACTCAAGTCTCTTATTATAATATTTTGTAAATAGTCGCGTGGACAAGCAAAATGCGAAGTGTGTTGAACGACGAAATTGTAAAATATAAAGTGAGCGCAAAATTTGCTGGATATTGTACGTCTGTATAATCATTTGTCAAGCAATGTATCTTATAATAGGGGAGATAATAAAAAAGACTTATTAAAACCCACGATGATGAAATCACAATACCTATCATCTCACCTACATACACGTGTATGCGAAATTAAATGATTATATTTTTTAGCATTTCTTTTTTTTTTCTTCGATATAATCTTCCAAATACGTGACTGAGAAATAAACGACGATCGACTAGACTTTCATCGATCTCGTGACGGTATATCGACCTTGATAGAAATTTATCTAACTTTTAATGTTATATACACATAAGAACGAATTAATCAAACGTTCTGATCTTCGCCAACATTATACGTTGGCGCAACTGTGTCTAATCGTTAATCTTTATATGTTCTAGTCGCTCACATGCTTACCATTCATACATTATTACTCGGTTCCAAATATGCTATAGAAAAGATTAAGAAATTAAAATGTTTTTAATTATTTTTATATATTTTTTTTTAACAAACGGATATTACAACTAAAAGTATATAAATATATATATATATATATATATATATGTTATTTAAAAGATAAAAAATAAAACGTTTGGGAAATATATAAAAAATTTATGACGGTTACATATTGCAATATTACGTTAAATTTACTTCGTTACTGCGCACATTGGATTCGATATAACACGCGGAAAAAATAAAACATTTTGACGCACACGCACGAAAGTAATATCTTTTGGCAATACAACTTGTTTACAATTGCAGCACACGTAAATGCAAATATTGAATTTGAATGAAATCAATATGTGTCAAGTCTATTGACTAAGTGACATGATGAGAACTAACGATATCCATGATTTTTTTTTATTGCCGTAATTCTGTGTAATTCAGTGTGAGATATAAAATGCGATAAATACTAATAACATTTAAGAGTAACGAAGAGGCAGCGATAAAATAGTAATAGAAATGTTACCGTCAGTGAAAGATGGCGCATGTATGCGTACTGCGATTGTGATTTAAAAGATATGCCGACATGGTAAATTAAATTACCATTCAAGATACCGAAAATAATTTCGATAATTGTAACCAATCGTAACGCGAATAAAACGTTTCATAGTGCACGATATAGAGTGACCTCAAATTAAACCACACATCTCAGACATGTTGCAAATATATATTACGCGAGTATTAAAATGAGAAAAACAATTATTAATCGTCACAGATCGCGGATGAACAATAAAACAGTTTGTTAAAAAAAAAAAAAACACAAGAAGATAAAATGTTATTTATCACGCTATGATATTAATTGTTATGCTATAAATAATGTGTATACACAGAAAGTATACGGTATCATATCTTTTTAAATGTTTGTGAGTCCTGACATCTCAATTTGCGGAGAAATGTCTCTGAATATCAACGTCGCGTGTAATCATCTCCATTCTGCCGCTTCGTCTCAATGGCACAATAGATAAATCTGTATGATAGCATCGGAGCAATACAAACCTGAACGTAACATCAGCCCGCGCACATATTCTGGATGCCAATAAGTAAACAAACCGCGGCGCGAAATGGAATCGAAATCGGACCATAAATCTCGAATGTAACCGTGCGAAATTGCCGAGAAAGCAAAGATACATAACCGTAACTATTCCTATCCTTTTCTCTTTTCTTCATGTCGAGATAGAATATGTTATACATATATATATATATATATATATATATATACATTGAGTGTCTTTCTTACATCCGTGTGTATGAAATATAAAGGTAAAATATTTCTTCTAACTTTATATGCATAAGATGCTTCAAAAAATGTTAATATATGAAGACAATATTGACACTTGAATAAAAGACAAGTAATTTTTATTGCTAGAACTTTAGTTATATATATATATATATATATATACATATATAAAAGACCACGTATTTATTAAAAAATATTCAACATTGAATTTTGAACATTTAGCTTTATATGCGTTAAAATTTCGGAAGGTTTAGTAGAATCTATTACTGCGTCCTAAATTTCGCAGCAACATCCAGCTTCAGTTTATTATTTCTTGTCAATTGCACTTCGCACAAATATTTATTCTAATAGCGGGATTTATATTGTGGAAATTTCTCGAAATACATCCGCATAAATGTCCATTACACGTCTAATGGACGTTCATAACTCCACGTGACGTCTAATAAACATCTGTTGGAGGTAGAATTGTTCTCCGTGTGGATGGTGATGTTATATGCGTACGTGAAATACTCGACAAGAGATATTGAGTGATAGATATAATATTATACCTTCCCGTTGATGGTGAATTATTATTCGAATATCGGATGCGCGTAATAAATTTGAAATTGTATATATTTGAAATCTCTGAATAAATATCCGGATAAATTTTGAACTAAAATATCATAATATTCTTCTTTATCACTCATCAGCAATTGCGAGAATACTATCTACTTTATCTACAATTTCAAACTGTTTCATATCTGCAGAAACTTCGGTCGGTTGCTGTTCAGGTGCAGCACCGCAGCACGGCGTATCAGATCAGACCGGCGCAGAGCTCAAAACGGAAGAACATATGTTTAACCAGTGACGCATGCGTGGTCACCGCTTCCGCAACGTACCTAGCCATCTTTCCAGTCAAGCAAAAGTGATTGTTTTCAGTCTTAGTCTTATTTAACTGAACTTTTATTAATGTCAGAACCACAGTCCGCGCTGCTGTTACGAAAACAATTAGCAGGTACAACGTGAGGGTGATATGAGTGTTTAAGTGCATTTAATGAAGCGCGAGTCGCGTGGTCGTGCGTGGAATCGGAGCTGTGTGTCTCGAACTTTTGAAGGACTCGTCGCCGTCGTGTCTCGCAGGCTCGACGTCATCCTCGATGATCTCGCTCTCGTTTTCACTGGGAATCATCGTGCTCAGGACTCGCGAGTTTCCTTGTCCATCCGATATCGCCGGTTCGCCGTGGCCGTGCGCAGAGATATGAGGCGTGAAAATCAATACGGCTCTCTCCCGCGGAGACCTGTGTGTGCTGCGCCGTGAATAACGTTAACCTAAGTGACGGCGTAATGTTGTCGCCCTCGTCGTTCGTGATACTCGTCGTTGCGACTTTCGAGTTTCACCTGCGCATCTTCCCTCCGTACCTTCCGTCACCGAAAAGCCGGTTCTTTGCGCGACAGCGCCGACGTTGACGACGTTGACAACGACGATGACAAAAACGATGACGAAGACGACAATGACAACGGCGACGATGACAATGACGACGACGACGACGACGACGACGACGACGACGACGACGACGACGACGATGATGATGACGATGACGACGACGTCGAAGACGAAGACCGCCCTCATGCCCGAAAATAATTGCAAGCCTTGTTATTTATAGCGTACGCGCGTCACTACCGTCGCGCACGTTTCTTCTCGATGGCGAGGAAAAAAAACATCGGGCGAGAAAGCGAAAGAGAAAATGAAAAAAAAAAAAGATAAAGTAAAACGAGAGACAGTACACACAGGGACGAGACGCGAGAGAGCGAGCGAGACGGTACGGGAGAAAGATGAGAGAAAGAATGAGAGAGAGCAAAAGAGCGCCGTGCAACGACCATCGAAGGTCAGCCGCCTTCGGGCCATGCTCCCCTGTTCCAGACGAGATCGACGCTACGAAAAATGCTTCTCCGGAGTTCGCTTCTCTTTGTGTGACTTGCAATAGAGTCGCAACGTGAGCGCAAGAAAAGGAGAGAACACCGTCGCGTCAGTAACCTCGTGTTTCGTCTCCTTAGCCGCGAAGTATCGTCGCGCTGACTCACCGCTCTTGTGCGGGCGTGTGGCGGCTTTATTTTACACAGGCGAACATAACCTGTACGCTGCGTCTCGAAACGAGAGTATGCACCGCTGACCGATCGACGTGTCGCACTTGGCACGAGCGCACACATGCTCACACGCGCGCGTGTCATTGTCGTATATTGCTCCTTTTTTTGTTTTACGCGATATATAGCATACGATAGAAAAAAAATTATATTTCGGCTGGTTATATGTAATATTTGTTTTTGTTTATTGTTGCAGAATTAAATAAAAACCCGGTAGAAGGGTTTTCTGCAGGCCTCATAGACGACAATGACATATATCGGTGGGAAGTTCTCATTATTGGACCTCCGGACACATTATACGAAGGAGGATTCTTCAAAGCACATTTACAGTTTCCAAAAGAATATCCACTTAGGCCACCAAAAATGAGATTTATAACTGAAATATGGCATCCAAATATTGACAAAAATGGAGATGTGTGTATATCGATATTGCATGAGCCTGGTGACGACAAATGGGGATACGAAAAAGCATCCGAGCGGTGGTTACCAGTTCACACAGTTGAGACTATCCTGATAAGTGTTATTAGTATGCTTGCAGATCCTAATGATGAAAGCCCTGCTAATGTGGATGCTGCCGTAAGTATTTTTCTCTTTGTGTTATATATACGTGTCTATATGTTGTATATCAAGAGGGGTAGTTTCTATATTTAACATTGTTTGCTTATGTTTTACTGTAGAAAGAATGGAGAGAAAGCTATACAGAATTTAAAAGAAAGGTGGCGAGGTGCGTGAGAAAAAGCCAAGAAGAGTGTTTGTAGGGGATGAACAAATATTCAATTGGAAAGACTTATTTAATTCTGGTAAGTTTGATGAAAACATTTACTAATGAACGTGTATATGCTACTATATACAATATGTAAATATATATGTATACATGTACGTTTATTTATAGTTGTAACTTCAATAATACAGAACTTCGTCATAATTTTTTTTTTTTTGCAAATGCTTCAAAACATTATCATCTGTTTTATTCCTCATTATATGCAGATAAAGATAGAATAATGCTTCAAAACATTTGCGGCTTTAATGTTGCTTACAGTAGACCACGTGAAAGCATGTACTTTTGGGAATTATCACTAGACAATTGTAAATAATGTGATCGTAGATAAGATAGGATAAAGTTTGCAGCTACGTTTTTCGCAGTCGTAAAGATAAAGTGTTGGAAGTTGCGTGAACAGTCTCGCTCTAAAAATTTGACAACACGTGGTCTACAGTATTGCTTTGATTGTTTTGTGTATATGTGACTATATATGTACACAATATGAATAGGGAAACCGTAAGCACTGTGAGAAAGAACCCGATGCTCAGCATAAAGCTAACGGACAACAGTGCCACTAAAAACCGGAATAAGCCTGACCCATCCTTATGCAGAGAGAGAGGAAGACAGAGTGTGTGTGAATGCAAACGAACTCACGCTGCTCTAATCATGTTTATTAAATCGCCACAATGATCCAGATTCAGTGAGACGAAAAAAACAACAACAACAAAACCAGAAAGGAATACACACGCAATTCAACTTTTACATAATAAACAGCTAAAGAAAATTAATTTACACGTATACATAATGCAAAAAGTCATCTCTGTATGATTACTATCTTAATATGAATAGTTATTATATAAACTTAAAATCCCTTACCCTCTCCCCCTCCTCTCTATGCTCAAGAATGACCCCGAGCCCCCTTGGACAGAATCTTGTAATTTAAACTAATGTGTTTATGTTTATCTCGATAATTATTTAGTGTCGTTTCGTATTTTCTTACTTTGGTAAATATACACATGTATAAATAAATTTTTATAAAGTTGAAAAACGACGGAAAACATGCAACCGATTTTTGTATTGTGTAAATTGTCAGCCATTAAAAATGGACTGTGTGTACGAAATAATATAGTACCGCGGTAAGCACGAACATTGACGCCGTTACGGTATCATGTGTGTGGCAATGTAAAATACATATTAAATTTCCATCGAACCGTAAGTTGCCAAAATAATGAATTCTAATTCAAGTGATAATATATATTTGTTGTTGTGCACCAACAAATACAAGTAGTATGTATTCCTAATAAGGTATATATTATACACGCTATAAAAATACTCTTAAACTGTGTGCAGAGTGTAACGGAGCTTTCTTTACAAAGTAAACTTGCGGTTCTTTGATCACGATTGAGTTATACTTCAAGTAATTCTTTCCTTTAGCAAATTCGTTCAACTTAAAGTATTTATGTTGAAATTTAAATAATTCTTTCATCTGGTTATATATATTATTTTATATTGTCAATTAAATCTTTTGACATTAAAACACCGTCTATGTTACATTACACCTGTTCCATTTCATTAGTGCATTGTTCATCGTACATACTGTACATGCACTACTATTTTTTTCTTCGAAATATGCAAAATTAATGTTGTAGTGTTGACGATGACGTGCTTGTTTCAAGCACCGTCAAATTGTCTTTAAAATACGTTTTACGCATAAAAAATGATGCGCAAAGACAGTTTAAGTAAAATTTACTAAATCCTGCGACACACGTTGCTTTTTTTCGTGCTAGATTGCATACGAGGGGTAGATTTGACCAATCGTAATCACGCATCAATCGTGATTTGTGGTCTGTGAGGAAAACCATCGTGTGCCGCAGGCTTAAGGCCCTTGATATTTTGCGGCCATCTTGGATTTTATGACGTCAAAAACAAGAAATATCGTTGAAATTTCGTGCACTGTTTGTGAAAAAATAAAAGAGTATTTTCATATAAACACACGTGGAATCAATAGAGCATACTTATAAAGAATATATACCGGATAGTTTTCTTTTGATTCAACACAACATTTATATCACGTTGCAAAAGCTTCATATTTTCAAATTTGCTGGTATAATTATTAATAATTAATTTTGTTTCGAATTAAAAGAAAAACATATATTTTATAAATATACTCTATTGATTTTATTGATTTCTCAATGCGTTTATATAGAAATATTTTTAAATAAAGTACACGAAATTTTGACGATTTTCTTTGATTTTCCTCGTTCCTGACATAAAATCGAAATGATTGAGAGGTATAGGGAAGTTTTTAGATGTGTATATAAAAGTCTTACCGATGAGATTGAAATCAGGACTTAGAATACAAAAACTGACAAGGTTGCCCAATATAAAAAACTTATTATCGCGGTTTTTATTACTGTCTTGAAATTTATTGTCTGATTCTGGCAACGTAGGAATTTTGCGACTAGTTTCGCAAACATATCGACCTATAATAATTGAATCGGCAGCTGTGTTTAGAGATTGAGCAAACAAAAATAATATTAATTTAAGAGTGCATTATATTATACGCTTTTTCTTGCTATGCTATCATTTCTTCGTATAATACTTGAATTCTGCATAAGTTGCCGAATTTTATGTGTTCTAAGAATATGCAAGTATTTTAAACTTTTACAAACTGTAAAAGTTTTTAATATCGAAAACTTTTGATTGACAATGTCCACAAAAATATAATTTCTTGATAAAGAAACATACTTTTATAATTTTATTTTAAATTTGTTTTCTTACTGTGTATAAAGGTGTTTGTTTAGAATGAGAAAAATAAACTTTCTTGTACACTGAAAAATTACAGAAAAGTTCCAATTCTGAGCATTACGTTAAAAAATTTATTATTATACAATACTTCCTTAAAAAACAAATTAATATCATATGTCGAATAAGAAAATAAAAAATCTTACCGTAAAATGTGCAAATAAAATTTATGTTTGCAATAGAAGGTAACTAGTTGCAAATTGAAAATGCAACATGGTTCTGAACTCTATCCGTTTCTTCATTTACCTTCAAGATGCCGCTACACACACGTATGCACACAACGGTGCAGGTTTTATACATATGTGTGTGCACGCGTATGTGAAACGTTTATATTTTATTACATTTTACAACATATGTTAAATATAAGGATAATGTGATATACATGATATACTTTTTATATAAGATTTAACTTTGTTTTTGGTTCCTCTCTTTTGTTGATATAAAAAAACTTTTATTAGTATTATTTTTCCACAGTAATGTAAATATATATAATTAATGTTAGTTTTAGTTATATAGAAAAACTAGATTTTGGTTTTTATCTTTTATACATGTGTATTTTTTATATGCATATCGAATAGAAAAAAATATTAATGTTAATCAAGTGAAGATAATATCAATACGGAAAGAGGGAAAAGATGAAGGTTTATTCTAATAATTAGCACCGTAATATTTAATACAGGTTTTTTTAATTTAGAAATTCTTGAAAGGAGACATTGATATGAATAATATAATTGTACGGTATATATATTTTTTTTTATAATATATACAATGAGAGAAGATAATCCGGTACTTATCTCATGATTGATTTGCATTAGTTTTTTTTTTGTATGCATTTAAAACTACTATAAAGTTTTTTAACCAATAAGAAAGAGAGAGAGAGAAAATTCAAGAGTTATCTACAAAATCAAAATAAGAATAATCTCATAATTATAATAATAATAATTAAAAATGTTTGTGAGACATCGAGTGCTTGCGTTATAGTTTTCATAACCATTATATTTTTGCAAGTATTATTTGTTCCATATTTTTTAGTGTTAATTTACAAGAAATGTGTGATTTGAAAGAAAAGATACGTAAAACTATATCGCTTTACGTCTTATGTGATCTTATTTTGTTTCTTTTATCGTAGAGTAAGATGTTATAAATTTTCACATAAAAACATTGACCATGACATATTTATATTTGTTTGTCCAGTTTGTAGAAATTACAAGTGTCTGTTGTTTTGACATGCATGTATGAAATTGGCCAACAAGACACAACACCACCAAATTCGAGATACGGTATAAAGGCAAAAGAGTCATGAGAAGAAAAAGAAACAAAGACGATAAGCACGTGCTCTCAATGTCTCTGTGACAGTGTGTACATGTGTGTGTGTGTATGTGTGCATGTGTGCGTGTGTGTGTGTATATAATAAATGTTATCTTTTAGCAATAAATCGCTCTAGTTTTTAAAGAGTTCTCATGGAAGATATGGAAATACACCATAATTCATTCAGAACGCCGCTCCATGCGTAAAGGAGATATTAAAGATCCTTAAGCTAATTCGTTCAATAAATCTCTCATATATCTTCAATATATTTTTGTATACCTTATTTATTTCTTTTTTATCTTCGTATAATAATCATAAACGTACAATTTAAAACAATAGTGCTCGTGTGTTTATGCAATGTACAGGATACTCTTTTCTTTTAAGCTATAATACAGTTCGAAATGAAATACAAATCAATAAACTATTACTTTAGGTAAACCTTCTTCGTATTTTTTTTGTTTTTTTTTTGTTTTAATACATTATTTTCACTACTGGATGACAGTGTCCTTCATGGTTCGTTTATTCTTTTCTTTTGATCGTTATGTTTCCGCGCACACATGCATTTTTTTTTTCGGTGCACGCGTCTCTCCTTTTCGCGCGTTCCCCGGGGGCCTCAACAGCTTTTGAATGTCTATCTACAATTATCCTTTGTTGTAAAATATTCATTATTAGGTTTATACGATATGATTTCCCTCCTTCTCTCCGTTGTCGATAACGCTTACGCAATCGCACGTATTATATATCCGCACACAATTACGCATTTGTGTATCTCGTTACGTTTATATTACATGTCCGCCGTACATCCTAAACGGTCGTCGATCTTTGTCCTCGACATAAAAGCTGTTTAAATAATTAAAGCTATTGGCTATCATGTATCTACAAAGAATCCCTACGCGTTTTGTTCACCGCGAATGAAGAACAGGAAAAACAATCGTAATTGCGTATACATGTATACAATAAATCAGAAAAACGTTCATCTCCGTTTGGGTGATCGGACACGTTGGTCGCCGCGTTCGCGGCTAAAAATCCGATCGTCTCACCGACGTGCACACATTGCGGGATGCATATCTCTGTCAGATCTCATAAGAGCGAGTTCATTTCTCGATTTCTCTCTCTTTCTCTCTCTCTCTCTCTGTCGGTGAGGATCGACGATTATCCACGGATGCCGCGTTGGATATACACCTCTGGTACCGGTTATAATCCCGAAGTTATTAGAAAATCGGAAGGGTTGAATATTAGACTAATGTTCGATCGAACTAATTTAATTTGGTATTCAAAGATTTGAGATCGCACGTTTGTTCACTTCTCGGTTTTCTGCCCAGCTTCAACGTGGTTCGTTCGCATCCGGAGCTTTTTCTGTCGCAGCCTCATCGATAGAAAAACATCCGACGGGAAGCGATCGACGAAGTCTTTTCGTCACACGATCTTGTTTGTCACGATTATTCACAGTTTTCGTCAGATCACTTGGTGAGACTCGGATCACACTAGCAGACAGGCGGAAGTAACGTTTGTTAAGGTTTTAGTACGAGTTATAAATCGCACGAGAGTGTAGGTAATAAATATGTACATTCGGTCAACTTCCGCCGTTCCATGACAACACTTACAAAAGAAACTTAATGTAAAAAAAAAAACAGGAGTGAAGGGAATAAAAAAAAAAAAAAAAATTAATCAATCAATCACCGGTTTCTCGTTTAGCAATGCCCTTCTAAAGCGATCGTCTCGCACGAACACGTCTCGCGTCTTCCGTCTCGTGCAAATACCATTCACACGCGCGTTTGTATTTCCTTGTTTTACTTTTAACTGCGGACTAGAATTTAATCGAAGAGTAAAATTTATTCTGGTAAATATACTAGTTTGATTCGTAATAATTCGAGGACTGTCTCTCTTTCTCTCTCTTAAGTCGAACATACATAACACGCACTCTCTTCTCCCATTCGCTCGTCCTTTCGTTCTTTTTTTTTAATGAATTGCCTCGAAGTGTCTTCTGCGCAATTTTCTCTTTTTTTTTTTTCCTATATAGGCATCAATAATTTACGGCAAATTCTCATAATTATTATGTTCTCCTTTTGCGTCACTCTTATACTTGCCTGGACACTGCATTTTCACGTATCGCGAGTAGTCAGTACAAACAAAGGGAGTTTTAAAACTTTCTTTCTTTTCTCACCTTATCGTGCGTCGCTAATTTTATCACGAGTTTATTTTTAAAAGTTCGCAATGCCGACTGCGACAAATGAAAATACAGCATGCAATCGCTCGATGTGTATCGCTGTTAGTCTGTGTGGATATATTTTTCGTACGCTATTTAGATACTTAGGTGTAAGTAAGTAAATATACAAGATTGTGTGTATACATGTGTGTATTATGTATCCTTTTGTGTGTGTGTGTATACGTATAATGTAGATCTTTGTGTCCGTTATATTCCGAAATTTTTCTTCCCTTCTTTTCCTCTGTACAGATATTTACATGTGCCAGAAATTGCACGTCTCGGGCTCGCGCAATCTCTCACTTCGATCAGTTAGCGTGTCCCGTTTCGTCTGTCGCCCGCACGCTTTCGTTCTCTCTACATATCATCGCAATATAAGCTCTATCACATTGGCTTTACAAGCCACATTGTTATCGCGACAATAACTATAATAGTAATAAAATAATAATAATTGTTAATAGACGACAATAATAATAATAATGATAATAATAGCGGTAATGCAATGTATAAGCCTAATAATACAAAAAATAATAATATATTTAATAATAATATAATAATCAAAATCATATTAAATAATCACATTAAGAGATATGTTCATCACCAATTGTTTTAGCGCAGCTAATAGTTTCCAACAAATAGAAAAAGGAAGCTTAAATAACCATATTGTGAAACGAATAAATTTACTTCTTTTTTGGTATTTTACATTTCTCATTACCGTTCAACATATCAACGTAAAAATAGTAAATTCATGACAGTACTTTGACAACTGAGAATATTTAATAATATGATAATTATATATATAATATATATATATATAGTATAATAATAATATTTATAATTTGAAAATTATAATAGAGCAGTGTGATAATAATAACATTGGTAACGGTAAGTGATCATTCTTCTCGCAGTTTTTTTTTTATAAATAGATGGATAAGCAAGAAAAGTAGGAAAAGAGAAGAAGAAGAGGGAAATATCGAGTCTTAACTAAACGAGATAAAAGGTACATACGTAACTGGAGAGGAGTATATATATATAACATTAACAGCTTATTCACTATATCGGGGAGATAGGGAGGCGAGTATAAACAATAACATGAATCACAATTATGCAATTAATTATTAATCGGCCGTTTTTTTTCGTCGCGCGCAATTCTTCACAATTAAAAATTAATAATAATTCGATCTAACAATTAGTTACTGGGAGATTGCACTGTAGCGAACCCGGACCACCTCCGTTTTCCGCGCATCATCTTAGTCCGCTCGTCTCTCCCCTACTCTGGAATGATATTTCCAATCACTCGAGGGGAAATGTCATCCAAAAGCGGAAACGGCCGGGGTTCTCTCTCGAATTTCGAGCGGATTGCAACGAGAGCCCGTCGTCCTCCTACAGCCGGCCCCGTTGTACTTCACAGTCTTCTAAAATGATACGATATTTTGCCGTAGATCCGCACGCACCGACACTGATCTCGTACCACTTGCCGCGTAGAAAACGTCACAATGTAAAGTCCTTTTTTTGATTGAGCTCCGTTCATAGTTTTGATCGTTTCTCTAAAAACGTTCGACCAAGACATCCTCCCGATTCCTTTTTTATCGATGACATTCTCCAAGAAACATCCTAGACCCGTACTTCGCGTCTGCCTCTCTATGATAATGCCCTCGTGGTAGGCAGGACTCGCACGACCCGAGTCCTATAACTGGTTTCCTCGTTTAAAACTTAACTAGACCGATGATCCTCGCAGAACGTCTTTTCTTTATAAAGCGTCATTTTGGCATATTTCAACAATATGACTTCAGAGACACTCGGAAATCTTGCCTGGCTTTCAATTTTGCACGAAGAAGAAACACCGAGATCACGGATAATTCCATGGAATTTCGCGTTTCAGACTGTCCTAGTAATCCCACGTTTCTTCCGGTTCTTGCTTTACCACGTCCTTCGGACTTTCTTCTGTTGATTGTTGCGTTTGTTGTGCCGACGGCGGTCTGAGTGACGTCACTGGGCTATTTTGACCAGACTTTGGACTGGGAAGCGGACTGTCCCGATCGGCCCCATTGTTGGCGGACACGGAAGAGACGTCGCTCTGAGCGTCCTCTTCGTACCGGTCCTGAACGGGTGTCGGTTCGACTCTTATGGTCTCCTCGGCTTCCCTCTTCACACCATAATCATCCGTCTGCATCACGCAAACACCATTGATAATGACTTCGTCGCCTGTTCTTGCTGGTTCTTGCCATTCCGGATTCACCCATTGCGGTGCTGCAGGTTTTCTTCTGTTAGACCTAACTGTCGCGGGTGCCGTCGGCGTTTCCGCGGGTTCTCTCTTTATACTGCTGGCCGAACCTTCCGAATCTTCACTACCTAGATTACTCATCGCGTCCTCGACATCTTCGTCCTCGAACTCCTGATTTGGTTCTCTCTTCAGAGCGTTCATTGAGAGATCGAGGCCGGAGCATTGCTCCTTCAACGCGTTACCCACTAGGGCCGCCAGATTGGGATTGAAATATGGAGAGTAAGGTAAAGGTACATTTCCTAATCCCAATCTCTCTTTTTGAATCTCTAACAGTCTTTGGTTCAGTAGTAATCTGAATTGAACAGGATCGAAAGGCTGGCCAGGTTCTCGTGGCGATTGTGGTTCCGGTTGACCGTGTGGCGTTTGCTGCTTCAGTCTCATTCGATGATTGTGAAACCAGTTCGTTATTGTTCTCGAGGATAGGGCGAGTTCACCGGCGAGGAATTCGATGGTAGCTACATTAGGATACGGGTCCAAGGCAAAAGCGAGTCTGAGAGCTTCTTTCTGTTCTTCAGAGAAGAGAACACGTTGCTTCTTACCGGTGGTGGGTCCCGGACCAGGTGACGCTGCGTGATAAAACTCAGCGGTGTCATTACTCGAAGTGTCAGAACTGTTGTCGTGACCCGGACCACTGCTGCGTCGTCTTTTGTTTGCCTCTCGTCGCTCGTTTTTCAATGCTTGCAGTCTATCGACGTTGTGCGCGTCTGACAGCCAAAGCTGCATTCTGATAAAAGGTTCACGGCCTTTTATGCTAAGCATATGCCACGGCTTCGGTTTGCTCAGAAGCTCGCTGACAGAACCTTGCGAAAGACCGAGAACCGCTTCGCCGAAGATTTTCTGGCCGATATTATTGGCCAGTAACGCTTCTTTGATTTTCGTGGTGATCGTTTGCGTGTCGAGATCTTGCGTGAGGGCAGCCATCTCGTACACGCTCGGTGAAATGTGCGGATGAAGACTTCGAAGAGGCGACGGCGCCATCTGATGATGCGGCGAATGCAATGACATTTGTTGTTGCTGTTGTTGTTGCTTCTTCTGGAGCTCCTGCATGCTGAGTTGAGTGTGAGGATGATGAGGTCCAGGCGGAGTCAACATCATTGGTGGTGGCGGTTGCGGATGCTGTAGATGCTGAGGACTTTGCTGAGGCGGGCCAAGTTGCACCTGATTCTCCTGCTGATGCTGTTGTGCCGCTGCTTGCGCGGCCGCTTGAGCAGCAGCCTGTGCCTTCGCTGCATTTTGCAACTGCTCTTGGACGAGTTTTGTCGGCGGCATAGGTTTCATAGGTGTTCCACACGCTGTAACACAATGCAACATTCGATCAAAAAAATTCAATAACTATAACTAAAAGTCGATAGTCCGAAAGCTCATCTCATACGGACGTCAAAATGTGTGCATATAAGTTTTGTGTTTTATTTATATTTCTAATACAAATTAAATAAATGTATACAATTCTCAACTCATTTTATGATAAAGCAAAATGTTTATATTTTTATTTTTGCGAAGATGTCATGCTTGTTCTCAGAAATTACTTTTTATCGTAACAAGAAACGTATTGTCATCGTGACGTCGTTCTTGACGATCATCAGAGCTCCCGAACTACGTTTGGTAATAAAGTAACAAAACATCTATATTGACCTGAGTTAAACTTACGAGGCAGGCCGCCGTAGCCGCCGGTCCTCATCAGCTTCTCCGGAGCAATCTTGTATTGACTGGCAACCAGCTTGTGTACTGCGTTGTCATCCTCGAGGAACATCTTCATTCGAATGAAGGGTTCGCGACCTTTTTGGGTAAGCATGTGCCATGGCTTGGGACGCGCTAGAAGGTCCGATACCGATCCCTGAGACAAACCCAATACTGACTCGCCGAATAGCCGCTGTGAAATCGAATACTGAGACAGCTGTTCTTTCACCTGCACACACATTACAAATATGCAACGTTGGATAGGAACATCGCATAAATTGTACGTAATAGATAGGTGATTAAAAAAACTTACCCTTTTGACAATATCTTCGGTGTTAAGATTATTATACAGATCGAATTGTTGCTGCGTAATTGGAGGAAGCACAGCTTTCAACGGTCTTTGATTGGCCGAGTGGTGAGTTGGCGTGGACGGTTGGCTTATCAAACTGTTCGTGATGGATGCCATCCTTTGAAGAGGACTGGCTGCCGCCGCGCTGGAGAATTCTTCACTAGGTGTCATTGCAGGAGGGAGTATAGAATTGCCAAGCGGTGAACTCGCGCTGGAACCGCCGGGCGTCGATTGCGGGCCTGTAGATTCCTGCTTTGGTCTCACCAGAGAGAAAGCACTTCCTGCGTGCCTCATCGCCTCTTCCATTTTCTCTTTCTCCTCTTCCGACACACCGTTTATCATTTTGTTGCGCGGATCCACTTTGCCTAAACTCAAGTCCTGAACACTGCCGCCGCCGCCGCCGTTCGCGGCCAAATGATGTTGCTGAAGAGCTTGTTGCTGAAGCGCCAGCAAACCTGGCAGTCCGGGCAATCCTGGCAATCCAGTCATCGAGGGTGTCTGTCCTGGTGCTGCGTTCAGCTTTTGAAGCTCACGGTGGTAAGCGTCCAAGGCCAGTCGAATGTCTTCTTGGGTACGCTCGATACCTTGAAGACCACTTTGTGTACCACTGAAAAAATGCGGAAAGATCGCACTACGATCAATCGAGGTCGCGTGCTGTCCTCAATAATAATCAATCGCGATAACGCAATCGTGCACTGGGTAAAATTTCAAGCTTCGAAGTTATAGAGGTACATGTCAAACACACACACACACACACACCACACACACGGTGAAAAATTCATTTTAAATTATAATCAAGATACAAATCTACACCGCGTTTGAAAGTGTATCTAAGGTTTTTACTCGATTTCAAGTAACACGAAAAGCTCTCCCGCCCAAATAAAGTTTTCTTATCACGAAACGGCAGTTTGCACTTGACATTTCATGCCACGATATCCGAACAAATGTAGGTAAATAATGCATTACTTCAGCCGTATGTGTCATCCATTTCAGTTATCACTGTGCATCGGTGAAGACGTGTACGTATTATTTGCATCAAACTGCGAACGATAACGTTTGGCAAGCACGTAAGTCCACGTTTTACACGATTAGCGATTCTTACCTAGAAAACTCTCGCGGACGAAGGTCCTCCACTCTTCTGCCCATCAGTTTGGCCAGTTCTTCCTGATAAATTCTCACCACCTTCTCCTGAGGAATGTCGTCGTTCTCGTACTTCTTCAGTCTCCTATTTTGGCTGTCAAGTCTGTCCTTGTTGAACGGACTCGGACAACCGATTCTGCTCGGACTCTTGCTGTCTGCGTCGTTCGACACCTCGTGCTCACTCCTCATTTGCATATGGCCCGACTCCGAGAGAATATGTGCCAATCTTTCGTCATTCATTTCTGGCGGACCACCATCCTGTGGCCCACGTGCGAATGCTGGCATTCCTTGCTCCTTGCCTGAAACATACTCTACGGGTGAGGCACAACTTGTGGTGTATTCTTACTCAGTCTGTGTGGGTCTTAGAAATATAGTATACAAATAAGAAAACATAAATCACGTTCAACATCAACAAAATCAAAAACTGACGAACACAAATATTTCTCGACGCGTCGTCTCGATGTCGCTTGCAACAACCTAAATCACTGATTTCGCATATCTTTTGATGAAGTTCCGCTATATATATTTCCAGTATCAACATTATTCGCAAACAAGATTGCACGACTGCACGCGCAAGTATAAACACGGTGCTCATTATTGCGAGATTTCAGGTTAATCTCGCATATACATTCATTTTTTAGCGCAACTTGTTTGCTCGCGGATAAACCAGTCTACTATACCAGCGAGTCATATTTGAGAGATGATTCCCCGGGTTCGTAAGCAATTAATACATATAGCGCGCAATCGATAACTGCGTGCTGAATCCGAAGGCGAAGTATACTCAACGACGATAATTAAAATATCCTCTTCTGGACCCTCTCCCTTGCGGTCTTCCCCCTGCACGTCGGCAGGAGTGTAGTCTTCCTACGTGTTTCCCGTCTAATTGACCAATCAGCGCTGCAAGATTCAGACGAACGAACCATCGATCATGTCTTTGATTGCTCGCGCGAGCGTCGCACGCGAATCGGCGAGGGAAAAAGAGCGATTTGATGTGTATGGCGAAGAGTCGGGCGCGGATTTTGATCATAGAAAAGAACATAATCTTTGCAAACATCTCATCCATCAAGATGTTCATCATTTAAAAATAAACGCGCGGTGTCTACTTGACTATTTCTATGATCGCAAAACAATTCTCGTCAGATTCAATGGCTAATGCATTTTGCGTCCTTACCTATTTTGTATCGTATACTGTGCACTGTGTGATATATTGTACCGTGAGCAATATCGATATTTATAGCAAATTCCGTTTTATTTATAATTAAGTAGGTAATGAAATTAATTTCGAAGTCTGAAACCACAAACAGGATTTGTCGTTAAGATATTCGAGATATTCGGGCATTCGGGTTTTCTTTTCTAGAGTATGAAAACTTAAATCTAAAACTTAAATATATTAATCACTTCCCCGTAAAGTTATTGACAATGTATCTCAGTTCGTAACCGCGACGCGATGGGAGAAGATGAGTTACTTGCGTCACTAACATCTTCCTTTCCGCGGAATACTTCGACAACATCACGTGGGAAAACTTTACGCGCATCGTGTATGAAATCGTACGCGTTGAGCTTGATTATACGTTCGAGAACCTACATCCTCTCCCTCTTGCAAACTTTCTCGTAGAAAATCTAGAATAAATAGCAAAGCAATAAATATTATCGGATTAATGTGATCGCGAGCTATACTTTATACGGGACGCGTGCAACAAACGAGAACAAGTATAATTGTATTTGCTCGTCATGTACATACGTATCCCCCACTCATCGTGTTTGGCACAATGAGCGGTATCGTTGCAAATTCACAATGTTTCTCTCAATTAACAAGAAGCATATTTTTCCACACAGATTTGCTCAATCGCGAGTCAACCTGCGTGCTACTTTTTTTTTTTTTTTTTTAAGCGACGGTCGTTGTGTGTATTTCGCGAGTGCACACGCGTTCGTTGCAGGTGTCCGCGGATTTGGAACGAAATTAGATTTAGGAGCATATTTCATCACGTTTTCAAGGATATTGCGTTATGACAGGAAAGACATGTAAAATCGCGTTATTCCGAAAGAAAACATAGCACGAACACATTGTGTATTCCTGATAATAGAAAGATTTCTATCTCATCGCCATTTCGATCGCCCGCGCATGCGTCAATTTCCCACGGTTTGAAAAATCCCGATGGCAGCGATAAGTCGCTTGGAAAATGGCCCAGTTGCGTTACGCAACGGTCGCGCGCGGCACGTCGCGCATTGTTACGAGCTTTGCGCGCTAAAATCCATACTTTTCTCAGCGATTGCGCGCCCGCTCGCTTGGCACTTCGTCTCACATATACGCGGATGATGGCGAAACGTCACGGTCGTCGCCGTGCCGTCCCGATCGCGTCGCGGCATCAAAGACCGGTTACGGGGAATCGACGAAAGGGGGAACAATCGCGACGCACAATGGGCGCGACGACGAAAGAAGGAAATGTTCGCGTACGCACACTCTCCGTGCGTGTTTCGCCGGAAAGGAAACCGTACTAGCGGGCAATTATATTCGCGCCGTAAAATTGTCTCGACGCATGCACGTGCATGCGACGCGACCCGCGCACACACGGGCGCGCACAAGCGGCGCGATATGAGGGAGAGAAACGCCGACAATAGGCCTGATTGCAAAATCTAGAACGATTTCGTGGGAGTCCGCAGGTAACGGTGACTTAAGAAATTCACCCGATTGTTGCGGGAGCGAGTGCGAGTTGCGACGCTTCCGAAGCGCTACGCGATTTCGACTCGTGATCGCACGCGAGATTTGTGAAAAATTGTATTCACAGCGTGTGTGGAAACCCGTGTCTTTACGCGTTATAAGTCGATTCTTTACTATATTGTCCAAATGTTTTGATTTGAAATATATCTGTTTTAGAAAAGAAAGATCTGAAATATACATCGGCGAGTTCACTGAAACTGAAAAAATTTTCAAATCCTCGAAAGCGTATAATATACTATTTCGCGACGAGATCGAGGCGTCAAAATGTGAAAGGATACGAAACAAGATAGAAAATCTGATAAAAATCCGTAGCGTAAGGCGAGGCGCTGAGGCTTAATGAACGAAACTCATTCGCGTGAAATACAGCGGTGCGTTTTGCAGCCGTCCGTGTGCACCTGTGCGCGCACCTGTGTATAAGAAGTATTTTCCTCGTTATCTTTGTGGGTGGAGACACGTTGTTGCGTACAGCTTGTTTAATTGAGATATGTGACGTTCGTAGCCACAAGGCATCGGTTCCTTTCTCGACGGAGGGGCAATTAAAGGAGAATCGAGTGCGCGCAAGCCAAAGAACGCCGCGCGTTCTCTTGTAAATTAAACTTAAAGCCTAGCTTCTCTATCTCGGTACATATTACTCGAGTTAATAAAAAATTAAGTTAATTTTCAATTTGATGTAGTTTCACACATTCGTAAGACGTTAATATGTAACTTAAAACTTTACAATAGAAAACTTTTTTTTATGTACCGCAATATTTCAATCTCGATTTTTATCTAACTTTTGTAAACACCCGTTGATATCAAATAACTTGCTCGCGGAAGACTACAACGCGAAGATTTGCAAGTGGACAAACACACAAACCGATAATCGGTTCATGTTTCAACGACCTCTGATTTTCGTTACGTAAATTTTGTTTAATTATTTGCGCGCGTATATCGAGCGCCGATACAATAATATGTGAATATGACATTCGAAATCGCTTTGTCGTACTTTGATAGTGTTATCTCGAATCGGGTCAATGTACTCAGACGAGACACTTTCATAGTCGGAGTATATCGTTCGGAGATTCTTCTCTTTTTTTTTTTTTAAATTCAATACTGCTTTCTATGTATATTTTGCATTGCCTCGAAATTCTGCTGATCATAGGCGGTACACAATAAAAACCATGCTTATAATCATGTGTTTCTTCGTAAAATGCAATAATTATGTCAGTTATAAAATCACAAATGTCCCGTCGCTCGCGTGGAAATTGTAGTTATATGACCGTAAGTACGGCCCATAACATTTCGCGCTGCAGTTGCAAATCACAGGCAACCATGATTTTCGTTCATGATGATGGTCGTCGCGCCGCGAAAAGTCTTCGTCGAGAATCCGGCGAGCGCGCGCGCGTTTACCGCTGCAGGAAACAAAATTCTGCAATAAACTGACTTGGAGCTAGACCAACTATGTTTATTACGGTAATCTCGCTGTGCGTAGCTCTTGGTGCGCGCTTAGATCAATTGTGTTGCAGCGCTCCGCGAGCAATAATAAACCGCTTGGACGTGCCGCGCTGAATAGTGGGCCAAGATCCAGATATGTTTGTCGTGGGATTAGCAGCTTCCATGATTTTTGCACCTTTCCTAAACAACTGACAGGGATATCTGTGTAATATATTGCTTTGATTTAGAGACCACGTTGGAATCCGAGAACTCTGCGATGACCGAATTTAAATTCTCTTAAACTGCACGTAAACAACGATTGTCAACGATATAGCGGTGTGTAAATTTTGACGATGACAAAAAAAAAATTTCTCCGCTCATCGCGTGTGGTAATTATGCGTTTATTTAATCTGTCTGTGTGAATACTCATTGAAAGTACACAACGACGTTCCCACGCCGCGAGAGAGCGCCGTGGAAATAAAATCATCCCGAGATCAATAGCTCGTTATAATGGCAACAGTTTTCAGATAGATGAGCGATAAATACATAAGTTGACCACAAAGTCAATTCACAGATCACAATAAAGCTTTCAGCGACAGGTTGACACGCTGCGCCGTCTATGCCGGTTTACATAGCACGGCGGATGAGTCGTTAGATCAGGTATTTAGCTCGACGCAAACTTATCTTAACCGACACCTCCACCAAAGCTAGGCGGTGCCTTTCAGACTTTATAAAGCCACCGATTTTTGCCCATAAATCACGCCTGATTATAGAAGTTTCGGACATTACTCCAAGTATATTTATGCTATTGAACCTCGGCGGACTCTCGTTATGATCACAAAGAGCTCACGGCCATGACTCATACGAACAAACGACCACGGTGAATGATTAATTCAACGACTAAAAAGATTCCTGGATGTTAATGATGATGCTATATTTTCAATACCGGCAGTAAATATATTTAATATCCAACTGATCGCAACTATTTTGAAGTTAAAAAAAAAACTCACTTCGTGTTATTTTACAAGTTGTAAACTATTTCATGTAGTAACGCGAATATATACGCTTCAGTTGGCTACAATACAAGAATACATAAATGCGGTGCTTTAGCTCGATTTATAAAATAAACTTTCAAAATAAACAGCGTAAAACAACTTTTGTATTTTTAAAATACAAAAAGAAACAAGTTTAACTTTTTGTACATGTAACTTTACAACAGTTCTATATATTTCTTATTTATAATCTCTCTTGATTGTTTACTTGACCGATATCGGCGACCGCATTAGCGCGGCGATTTCTGCAATTCTGATTTACTGTCGTTCTCGCACGCTGCCGCGAGATGATACACGTTGCTCGCTCCCTGTAATTTTACGGCTGACACATCGAGGAACGTTGCGATCCCCTAAGTTTTTGTGTCACCGGTTTTCTCCCTCCGCCCTACGAACGCCCTAACCCTTCATTCCTGTTGCGCCCTTTTCCCCTCCTCTCTCTCTCACTCTCACGCGCAGAGTCCGTCCTATCCGTTGTAATGTCCCGTGATTGTTGTTACCAGAGAGATCCGACGGAAACCGACAAACCATTGATGCGGGACGCATGTCGTGCTCCGACTAAATTTTATACATGTTTTATTTCGTCACCGGACGTGAAGGGAAAAATGATGGCATTGAGTCAACATCCTGCGCGATTGATATTAATATTTACAAAAAAGCGGAAGAGACTGCACGCTATTGCGTATCTATGAGGTATTGTCGCGCGTCGTCGCGAGAACACATTCTGACTAAAAGGCGTAAAGAAATATATTTATTACGCGTTACACTTATTTTACGTCAGAGTTCACTTTATTATCGCCGAAGAGAACAGATCCATTTATTTGCACGAAATATCCGCAATGGTGTCAACATAAACCAGCGGTTACTCGGATTTTACGCGGATGCAATTTAATTTTTCCGTTGTAATCGGAAAAGTGTAATTGTCTCTCCGCGAGTAAGTACGGACTTAACCCGCGCGCGTTTCAGAATTTCTATATTCTCCACTGGATCTTGTCTTCCTTTCTTCTCCCCTCTCTATACACATCGCGGAGCCCTTTATACATCTCACCCCTACCCAGTACTCATCCAGGGCTTCCTATTCCCAGAAGCTATTAGTCTAAACAATATGGCTGCCAAACGCAGCATACAATCGATAGCAAGGTATGCCAACGAGCTGCGTAATTTAATTAAGACTATAGCTGTTCAAACCTGGAATTATAGCGTATATGCATTAATACATTTTTGTATCAGATACCGAAACACAATGGAGCTTCGGTAACAATACGATACGATGTGTGTAGATAGAACATTTTTTTTAAATTCACAATTTTTACATACATCTGCGAAACTTCCTCTACGTATTATAACTAATTTAAATTCATTTGCCTATGGAATAATAGAATTACTTCTGCGATCACTATAAGATAGATATAGATGTATAATTTATACATACATAATTGACTTTTATCGCGCGAGATGACTTATAAGATATTATCGGTTCTCGCACTTAAATATAAATATAAACCTTTGGTATCGAGAAAGCTCACGATGTCACCAACGCGTATTCAGATTCCTAAATGCGATCGCACTTCGCGTTTGTACAGAGGGATGCGATTTTTGACATGAGCGTTCCTTTCCTGCGGTGCAGTTAGAAGAAACGAAAGTACCACCGGACCCCGCGTTAGACGCAGCTGAGAGGTTAGCTGACAGCTGGTGGTTAGTGATACGGCGAGATGGATTATTGGCAGTGCTAGGCGGAAAATTTTCGAGAGTCAAGTTAATCGACAGCGAAGTCGTCGACGGCGAAGGCAAGAATCATGAAAATACTTCGCATCGTTTTGTTGTGGGAATAGCTGCCGTTTGGTGTTATCAACATGTGAATAATTAGGTAAAGAATGTTAAACGTAATTACACACTTAAGACGGCTAACTTTCGATCGTGCATCTTTAAACGATCGTGCTGAACTTTACCGTAAATGCGCTTTATCGCGCTTACGGGGCGTAGAAGGAAGCGAAATTAATCACGATATAGTCACGTATGTGTTCGCTACAATGTGGCAGCAACGTGTGTAATTACGATGTCTCGTCCGTCTTCGTGGACATGGAGACGTCAGACGATCCAGCCTTCGTCGTGTCGGATATACGCAGAAGCGCGTCGAGAAGTTGTACGCGGTTGAGATAAACAACAAATACAAATGAAAAAACGAAGAGAGTGAGACTGGAACTGATGTTCGGTACTCACCTTTCTTGGGGATGAGGGACTTGAGCAGCATTACAGCGTTATCGTCGCAAGCCCAACCGTGCATCTTCCGATAGCTGTCACGGCCTTTTTCGGTCAGTTTGTCCCAAGGTTTGGGTTTGCTAAGTAACTCGCTGACCGTGCCCTGACTCAGTCCGAGAACATATTTGGCGAACAATCTCTGTCCGATATTATGTATCGACAGCAACTCCCGCACTCGTCTCGCTATGTGAAGAGTATCGAGATTTTGCGAGGCGTACTTGTCCATATTGTGACGTAACATCTCTTGCAGTCTCGCCTCCATGGGATCACCCTTCGGAATGAGAGACTCGCCCAGCCGACCGGCCATACCAGCGGCTCCGAACTCGTCACCGAATCGGAACGGATACGTTCGATCGTCAAACCGAAATGGACTTTTTAGTGTGTCGAGAACGCTCAGACCACCGATGTTATTGTTCGCTAGATGGTGGCTGTTGTTATTGTTGTGACATGATTCCTGATCGGCCGGGCTTTTCGGAGGAGGTGCGCTCGGAACACCAGGTGTGAGACCGCCGCCGTTGATGGAAGCCGAAGGAGTATTGGTTTCCACCATCGACGTAGGTGGTTGGAAGCTCGGCGGTGATGTTAAGGCGGTTGTGGAGGATGGTGTTGGAGGTGCTGGCGTCTCATGTCCCGATACCGGTGTTGGAGCTTTCTCAGTGACGTCTAAATTACTCAGAGGAGCCGTGCTTATAGGCGTATTCGACTTTGCAGGAGTATTCGAAGTGGACGACGGATCCGCACCCGGCGATGGCAGGTGATTTAAACTACTTGGCGTTGATGGCGGATGAAGACCCATGTGCGGTTGGGTCTGTTGCAACTGCTGTTGCTGTTGAGTTAACTGGCTTAATTGGGATGGCTGTGGCTGTTGTTGTTGTTGCTGCTGCTGCGATTGCTGTTGTTGCTGTTGCTGCTGACTCATGATAGACCTTTCCAATGTCCGCCTCCAATTCGCGACGATTTCTTCACCAAGGAATGAGCCAAAGGTCTCGACGTTTTGAAGAGGTGGCGGGAAGAGAAGGTTTGAAGTTGTCGAAGAGGCCGAAGAAGGCGTTGGAGTGGAACGCGGAGGGAGGGAGGTTGCCGTCGGAGGCGGTGGCGGTGGTTGTTGGGAGGACACATGGGACGTAGGTGGTACACCTCCAACCCCGTGGGGTGAGGCGGTCGAGGCGCGCTGCAGGGGTGACGATAATCCACCTGCAACCACCAAAAACACAAGGGAACCCGTCAGCACGCGTACATGAAACTCAACCTAAACTTCGACTCGCGATGAGGATCAGTAATGTTGTTTCCCGTTCTGATCATCAATTCGCTGTCATTATTGGAGTGCGAAAAATCGAGCGGTAATTTCAGCTCTCTTGATCTTCCGAGACGACACAGATGACCGAGACTCTCTTTTTCGACGCTTCGTCGGGTCCTAATCCACGCTTGAGTGTGCAAACGAGGAACGACGTGGACGCCAACGAGAGGAAGACTGTGGAGACGTTGTCGATTGTCCGGAAAGAAATTGTGAACGTAAGGAGACGTCCATTTTCGCGTTCGTCGCGATGATGCGTCTGGGAGAAAAAATTGCGCCACTGTCGCGTCGAATAAGACGGTTTTTGTTTTGCGACGCAGCTGTCGCGAACATTAGAAAACGGAATGTAGCAGATGACTGTACGAGAAGTTTTATGTCTTTCTCTACATTCAGACTGGATTCTAAAAGGACTTGATTGTATTACCACATAATCTTGACGTACGGGATGTTTAATTGCTTGGAATTTCCATGTGGAAACGGTACTCTTACTCCGTTATTATTGAAGGAGGTAGAGAGGGGAGAGATCGAAAACATATATATATATATGTATATAGGACCGCGAGTGACGACGACGTAAAAGGGTAGATTCGGACGGTTTGATTCAGAAGGGGTGACACGTTGCAGTATCTCTCTGGCTCTCAGCATATACAGAATGTCTCTTTCTCATCTCCTCTCATCGCGCACTCTCTCTGTCAGCTTGGATCGATTCATAATAAACTCTGTCCTCGAAACAATGGCTCGGCCCGGGCAAATATTGCGAATATCGTCCACAAATTTGCGTGCACGAAGTTTGCGTTTCCCAGTGTACAGATGGAGGGAGGGACGCTTTAGAGGGCCCTCTACGCGGGCAAGAGGGAAGAACTTTTGGAATATTCGGTAAAGGACAGAGAACGGGCCTATTGGGGGAGGGAAGGTGGAGGGTTAACGTGTGTTCTGTTGCGTTAGTACTTTCCACGCGAATATACGTATTAGAGTGGCTCGAAAAAAGTGCAGCCTAAGCAGCGAAGGTTTGGAGAAATGAAGTATGTATATGAGAGAGAGAAAGAGAGAGAGAGAGAGAAAGAGAGAGAAAGATGCAGACAAGAGTAATGAAGATAGAAAGAACAGAGAAAGAGAAGAGACAAAGAAAGTTAAGAGGAAAGTAAAAGACACAGAGGAAAATTAAAAAAGATAAAGAAAGAAAGAGAGAAAAAGAAAAAGAGAAAGAGAGTCAGAGAGAGTCAGAGAAAAGTGCGAACACAATGGCAAGCAGGGTTATTTTTGTTGTTTTCTTTTCCGATAAGCTCCTTCAGTCATCCCTCGTTTATTCTATGGAAGCGTTCTTGCGTCCGCGTTGCGTGACTCGTGTCCTTTTCATTGTTACTCGATGATAAAGCCCGTCGACGGAGCCTCGAAGAGAGAGTCGGGACCGAAGATCAGAGCGGTAGCGCAAAAATCAGAAGCGAGATTGTCGAGGTGTAACCGGCCTACTGACACCTCGTTAGTTTCTGTTTATTTATTTTTTTTTTTTTAAACTTTCCGAATTTCTATTTCTTACAATTCAAATGAATTCTTAGCACATGAGCATATTTCTTTAAATAAACACATGGCTTTTCTTTTTACTCTATGTATATTCCTGATACAATTAATTTGTATAATTTTGATTGCCTTATATTAAAAATAATTAATTTTTTTCGCTATTAATTGACAGTTCAATTAAAATTGAACAACGCTTGGAATCATACAATCAATTTTGTAATTTTATATTTTACATATTTCTCAATTCGATTTTTCCTACATCCTAAAATTAAGTGCCTTATGTATTTTTAATATACAATGACTTAAAATAATGTAAAAAATACTTAGTTCACTTACCGAGTGCTTCGGGCGTATTAGAGGATTTCAGGTTCTCGGCTTGCTGGAGCGCCTTGAAGCGTTCCATAAGAAGATGTTCCAAACTTTTTCCGGGCTCACCGGTTGGTATCTGCGAGAGGTCGACCGATCTCAGTACACTGATTTCGCGCTTTAGGTCGTCGTAATCCCTCTGCCGCTCCAATTTACTTTCCAGTCTGTTGATGTGTTGCCTCCGCACTTCGAGTTCCTCCTCAAGTCGCACTGTTGCTTGCGCACTTTGTTCCTGAAGGCGTTGCAGGTTCTGCTGTAGCCTAGACACCTCTTCAACCAACTGGTTGATCTGCAAAACAACAACATCGTCTCTATGAAGTAACAGAATTGTATTCGCACAAATTACAAATCGATAACGAGTAAATCAGTTTAAAATCTTAAATGTTAATAGTCTCTAACGCATTCGCGATATCTCGCGTTCGTTATGTTTATTGAACGATACCGGCGATAAAATTCCCCGCATTAAGGGAGACATCGCGCGATATAAATCACAAGAATTGCTACTTCCTGAAATATCGCCGAGTACTTTCGCATCGCTCATCAGGAAATCGACTCGAAGCGATTAAATGGAGATGGAACGTAACTACATTATCATCGACGCAAATATAGAATCACATTTACGAGCTTTTCCCTCCTCCGATTCACTTCGGGCATCGTTTATCTGAGACCGAACCTAGTAAGGAGCTTACCAGAAGCTCTTTATTAATTTTATCGGGAATATATACGGAAATCAATAGCAGACGCTTAGGAGAGGATAACTTTAAATCTTGGCGAGTCTCTGAATGTAATTACCGCGGATTAAATTACGTATAAAGTCTCAATCGAATCGATCGCATCGGTTGAATTGTCATCCAATTATCGTATCAATAATAATAATTTATGACATGTCACCGACCGATCTCGTCGCTTCGACACTTGATTCTTGAAGTCCAATGTGTGATAATAAATAGTAGTTCGCACAGAGCTGTCACTTACTACAAATAATAACTCATAATTTCGCAACAAAATCGCTTTAAGTATAGCGGTGCAGTAAAAAAATTTCAAATTGTCTAGTATCCTATATAAGGTATATTATAAATATTATGAAGAAAACCTTAATTACAGTAGTAAACAATTAAATATAAACCATATAAGATGACAAAAAATTTATGACGTTTATATATCGCTCGTAGCGATAATGTATGAAGTACATCTGTCTCTCATTAATGCATCATCGATCTGCATGTAATAATTACGTAATAAGTGCACGACCACAACGTCTTGTTTTTCCATCTCCATAACGAGGACGAATCCGGGATGTTGAAAGAATCGAGTGACAGCACTGACAAAAAATTATCACGACGAATAGAGCGTACGGCAATCGTCGTGTCGCTACTGTACCGCAATCAATCGCAATGAATCGTGAGCACTCAAAACCTATCCACGTGTTCCGCAGGGGTTCACGTGGATGCATGTGCGCGAGAATACGGAACAGAGGGAAGAGTAGGCGGGAGAGTAAGAGAGAGAGAGAGAGAGAGAGAGAGAGAGAGAGAGAGAGAGAGAGAGNGAGAGAGAGGGAGGAGAAACTGTGCAGGCGCAGGGGAGAAAGAGAGAAGGCCGATCAAAGAGGAATGGAGTGGGACGATTTTAAAGCCGAATGCGTTCGCACCGTGGCGTGCACCGATGCAACGTGAACGCGAGATCGTATCAATTGTTTTTTCTCGCCGAAGCGTCGTCTCTCTTTCCGTGCTCCGGAGGTTAATTGAGAAGCAACGATTTCAATTTTGCAAAATTTGCACCTCCGACAGCAGCGCGTGAATGTCAATGCACGTGTTTTGCATCTTGCGAAATGAAGTTTGTGTGTTTGTTTCTTTTTAACCTAAAGAGATTACAAATAAATTTTTTTTTCATTATGTCATTTTTTATCGTTCAATATATTCAGCGGCGTATATAACGTATAAGTATCGATTTAGAAAGTTCTTTTACAATTTAATGAAATTAACTACATATCTCTCACTCTCTTTCTCTCTGGCGCTTTTGTAACCCCGTGACTCATCGTAGCATAAAATCGAAGAGCCTTGACGCACGTGGTAAACTTGCACGTTTTTACTCGTTAGTTTATTTATCGGGGGCGGCTACCTGTCGATTGTCCTCCGTGTCACCCATAATCGATACGCGCTTACGTCTAGAAGTTTCATTTCCACCTGTATAGGTACGTGCATGTATATTATATGCAACCTAGTACAGATGCGTGTTGCGACAGCTTCACATACACCGAACGACATACCGACAAGAACCACGGGTGTAGATAAGTACGCATTGACGTTCGATATATTGTCAGAGGTAGAAGAGGTGGTTTCTGACAGAAGGGGTGGCTTATGTGTAGGGATAAGTTTCCGAAGTTGTTGCGATCGCTCGCAATAATGTCCGCCATTAGCGGCGATGGGGTAGGTTATCGCCATGAGGGAAACCTGAAACGAAGGACAGGTGGAATTAACACCACGTCGATCGACGAACTTACGATAAATACGGCGACGACTGAGCGATGTGCGTGTGTGTTTTTTTTTTATTTGCATGACGGACACTCACCTTTCGCGTTTGGTGTTGCGAAGGGCGAATCTATCGACTTCGCCCTTTCTACTTTTCTCCCGTGACCATTATTTAACGATGAAAATAAAGCGCGAAATCAACATTGCAATATATGTGCGATCGTATGTTTTTTTAATCAGCGAACTATAGAGCGAGCGAGACTTCAAGAAGCGCAAGACCTACTTTAAACTCTCTTCCCTTATTGTGATATAATGTGCGAGTTTCACATATAAGTACGAACAAAAGTTACGGCATTCAATTAGTAACGGCTAGTGTGGTTGCCGATATATATATTCCCCGAGTGGAGCAACTATACTCGTTAGTAGAAATCTTGAGTATTATCCGAGAACTCGGATATTCGAATGCGTCTATCTGATGGGAATGAGAATACATTGATTTTATGGTACTCCTGGATAAGCAAAATTTAGTACTGGATTATCTCGTACAATATCACTGCGACATTTTACGATCCAGTATGCAATCTGACGTGTCGTCATGATAATAACATATAACAGAAGGTTAATGTGTCTCTCCAGCTCACAGTTGGTCCACTCTGATATCAATAGTATTAATAATCTTACATTATTCGGAAATAGCTACGCAGAGCATCGTGGAGCTTTGGTTAAATTTAGTATATATCTCAGTAGTTCGTAAAAAAACCGCAGACTTTATTGAGGTCACATATTGTTCGCCGTATTGATATTCGACTTTTGCATCGAGATTTAAAGTGTAATTTTGTTTCCGGTCGAAAAAGAATAATATTGTTTTCAAAGTTCTTCAAAATTAGTTCGTCAAAATTAGTATATAAACAAAATTAGTATATGAATACTTTTGAAATAAACATATAAAGTTAGAACAAATAAAAATCAATTTTTGACAGTTGTTATCTATTTGCAATATTGCGACAAAAGTCGAAGAGTAAACGCTGCTAAGAGCGAATAATTACTCTTAAGAATGACGGCGAAGAGTGGCGGATGTTGGCAGATTTTCTACGTTGGAACAACGTCATTGGTAGAAGGAGAACTGCTCGTTAGCGAGATTCTCGACTGCAGAAGAGCCACACAAAGTCGGTATGCGCGTATAGAAGACGTACATGTGGGGTAGTGACCAACGAGCAGCAACCCCCCTGCTACGAAGGCGTTGAATCTGTGTGGCGAAGAGGGAGTGAGTTGAAGCAAAAACAATCGGGGCTTGATCGATGGTCGTGAGGTATGGCGACGAGGATGTGAAGGCGAGTCGGAAGACATGATCGGTCGTATGCAAATTAAAGCGAGAACGGCGAGCTCGGAGCTGACTCGGGTGGGAAGAACTGGAGGGTGCGAAGTCGGAGGGTGCGCGCAAGGGCTGCCTGCGCGCGGTGGTGTCAAGCAAACTTGAAGTAGCCGCACGCGTCCGTATTGTTTCTTGACCACCCTGTGTCCGCCTTCTACCACCCTTTTCTCGATCCCGTACACCCTCCCTTCGTTACCCCCTTAATCCTCCGCGATTTTTGCTATTTGCATTATATAGGCGTCGGAGGCCTTTGTTTGTTGAGCTATTGATCACATTTTCTCCCGTGGTATAATCAATCTTCACGCACACGGCCGCGGCCTTTCTCATCTCTTACGTATATACACGCACGTGTGTATGTGCGCGCGCGTGCTTACGCGTGCGAATGTATGCACGGACGCGGTGACTCGAGTAACGCGCGGCTCTTCGATATCCATACACCGTGGCACATTAGAACCCCCTTTTCGTATATGGACGTAGATTCGGTACAGGGACAAGATGGCCGTTTGCTTCGTATTAATTTCGTAGCCTGTCCACCAATGATGCGTCGGTACGAGATCGCCATGGCCGTCGAAATTCACGTTCTCGCTTTTCGTGGTTTCATAGCACTCCCTTTCTCACCCCCCTCCCACCGTCGTATTATCGTTTCCACGTGGGCAGCGGGAAAGCAAATATAAATTGTCGTGTACATCGGAATACTTTGATATATCCCTTTGATCTATATCCATTACATTGATATATATCACTGATAAGGATAAATATCGTAAAAATTAAACTGTAAGAGAGAGTATTCATTTGATGTTCAATTGATTTCTATTTGGTTATATCCGATATTAAACTGTGCAAATTAGAGTATATAAAATTGTTATTTGAAGAATTTGATATCCTTAACTAAAGTAATAAAAACTATATTTCTATAAATAAATAACTATTTAAATCTAAATTTGTTTTTACAAAGATGTACATAAGCAAAAAATAAGCATAATTAATTTAAATTATCTTTGCACATTTTCAGCTTTGATTCTTATTTTCTTTTTTTTTTTATAAAAGAAAACATCTAATACATTGTTGTTGAATCTATAAATATTTACAAAAGCTCTGATAATTACATTTTGCTCAAGAATGAGGAGCAACAACCGATAAAATGCAATGAGTCTTTCATCCGCGAATGAACCCTTTGTCGTACCGCTCGATCTATCACAAGAACTGAAACCTTGGTAGATCATACCGGACCACATCGTTAGGGACCAATATCATTACATCGCGATAGGAAGATTCCATTTTTACATCTCGGAAGGAAAGATCACCGGTATCAACCCCTTTAGCGGCAAAGCACTCCTTTGGGCCGTAGAGAAGCTCTCTCCCATGAAGGTTCGCTCCTCTTCTCGCCACAGGAGAATGCCAATTAAAAGCCGAGGTCGGAAAGAAAGCCCAATCGATAGGAGGCGGCTT